ACGTGAAAATCTCACGCATGCCCTTTTCTAACTTCAGAATTGAGCCAGCCAGAGAACCCGAACTTTCTGAGCATAACCGGCGGTGGCCTTTGAGCAGATGCACGCAAAAACGACTTACACATCACTTTCACGTCCCATGTACGTTTCACGTGTACACGTGAAATTTGACGTAACTCCGCAACCGGAGCAGCTGGGATGCTGAAACTTTCTGAGCGTTACCCAGGACCGCGTTTGAGCAACCGAGGCGAAAAAAGTATTGTAAAGGCGAATAGATTGCCTTGTCTCCCTACCCCTCATCCCAAATGATAAAACCCCGAATAAAGTAAAATAAAATGATTAGTCATCTTTCGATGACACTCCAATGGGACGTCGGGAATCGACGTTCCCACCGGAGATCGGATCTCCGACAAGAATCCGATTCCCTCATTCCCAGACTACCTATGCTCCCGCTGTTCAGGAAAAGCGCCTCGAATGGAAACAGCAGACAAAGCAAACGGAAAAGATACATAAATTACATGAATTTGTGTTTTGTAATAACTTTGTAATAACGGTGCCGCCGTCAAAGAGCGATATTAACATCAATCATATTGTAAAGGCGAATTCCTCGCCTTGCTCCCCTACTCCCATCCCAAACCATAAAACTCCAAAAAAAATAAAATAAAATTGATGTGTTATCTTTCGATGACGCTCCTCCGGGATATCGGGAATCGATGTTCCCAGCGGAAATAGGATCTCCGACAGGAGTCCGATCCCTTCGTTCCCAGACCTACCTATCCTCCCGCCACTTTTCCCACCGTAGATGTGATCTACGATGGTCAATTTCGACTTACATTCTCATGCGGTATATTCTCAATCCCCGCTGTCGGAGATTGTGACTCATGATAGCAATTCCAGGAAGAACGGTATATAAGCCGGAGAATCCCATGTTCCGGGTCCGCGTTCAACTGTGCCGCCTGACGCGGTTCGTTTTCTCCCGCGATCTACTTCGTCTCACCTGTGATCTACTTCGTCCCCCCAGTGATCGACTTAATCCTACGCTCCTGCGCCTGTAACTGCCATCTCGTGTAATAAAACGTGTCTTTCTTTGGTCTGGCCCGACACCTTCCAGGGGTAGCTCGATCTACTGACAACGCGGTACCTAGATTCAATAACCACACTTTTTCTATATATTCAGCTCTTTTTGTAAGCTGGAACGAGGCGGAGCTCCAGATGGGCTCGATAGCCGATTTTTCCGGCAAATTTTTAGTGTTAACATTTGTTTCTACACCGATCGGACGTCGTCTACCAACATCATCACACCGACCAGACGCCGTCTACCAACATCAGCACGCCGTCAGCCTCAGACCTCACCTTCCACCATTTTTTTTTCTTATTATTTGCTGTCGCATAAATATAG